GATGGCGCCCTGAGCTGCATACCTTCCACTTTCCCGAGGGTGAAATGACGATCACCCTCAAAGATGTTGCCATCCTCACCGGGCTCCCGATCACCGGAGATGCCATCATCGACAGCTCGAGAAAACCAGAAGATGGTTGGGGGCCATTGATTCAGGAACGTCTGGGGTTCAACATGCCGACCACCACGCCCGTCGAAGGGGTTGGGCATCCACCACTGAATGCGGGGCAAGTATCGATCCCGTGGCTTGTTGACCACATCCAATTGGAGGTTAATATAGGCCTGGATACTCCTGAAGATCAGGTGGAGCGGTATGCACGTGTATACCTAATTGCCTTGGTTGGTGGGTTTCTGTTCCCCGACAAGTCAAATAAGTGGATACAAGGCATGTGGTTCCCTATGCTCCTCGGTGACTGGGACGAGATCGGGAGAAAAAGTTGGGGGTCGGCCGTCTTGGCTGGAATCTACCGAGAGTTGTGTACTTGCTCGAGGTTGGGAGCGAAACAAGCTGGTGGTGCGATGTTCATACTTCAACTCTGGGCATGGGAGCATCTTCCGTTTCTCGCACCTCAAGACCCTCGGGAATTCTGGTTGCCAGATGATGAGCTACGATTTGTAGCAAATCCCCCATATGGTTTCAAGTAAGTTCAATTTAAGTTGAATTTATTTTAGATATGCAATGGTAGCTAGTTAGGTGAATTTAGATTTTAGTGAACTTAGTGAACTTAGTATGCAATTTTAAGTATGCAATTATAGTATTTTAGTGAACTTAGCTATCTTCCAACTAAGCGAATTTAGAGACATTTTAGGTCTGCAATTCTAGTATTTTAGTGAATTTAGATATCTTCCAAGTAAGTGAATTTGGATTTATTCTAACCAAATCGTATTTAGCTAATTTAAAAATTGCTTATATATGTACTTTTGCTTAATTAGGTGGATCGGAGCAAATACTAACGACCACCAGGCCGAGCACTCTTTACTGTTTTATCGTGCTGAATTTGATAAGCCTTGGTGGAACCAGGTAAAAATATTGAATGTCATGATTTTAAATTTATTAGGTGGAGTGGATATAATTTTTACTAATTACGTGAATTGTAATGATTGTAGGCGGTATGGGATCCATATCCAAATGAAGTGGTTGAGTTGCATCGTCTTAGACATCCCGAGGATCAAGAGACATGGTTGTGCAAGGTGCCCTTAATCTGCTGGCACATGGTGGAGTGGCACCTGCCCGATCGATCTTTGAGGCAATATCGATTGGAGCAACCAATTCCAGCATCCCCACCTCAAGGGTTCAGGGAGCTCCACGCCATTGACCTACGCTACAACAAAAAGGATTGGACCCGCAAACATGAATTCTACATCAACATATGGGAGAATAGAAATCAGTGGGTGGTCCAAGGGGCGCCGGAGACAAGGCCAATGGGGTACCACGATGGCTACATGCGGTGGTATCGGCACTTCACGCTAAGATGGGTGTCAAAGCAAGGTGCTGTTTGGGGCGCAGTGGTAAGTGAATTCCATTTTGGCCTATTTTAGTTAATTTTTGTAGTATAATTACATGCCTATATTTGCTAGAATGTTAATTAACATTATTAGATTTAATGTTAGTTAATTTTTGTAGTATAATTACATGCCTATATTTGCTAGAATGTTAATTAACATTATTAGAGTTAATTTTAGTTAATTTTTGTAGTATGATTACATGCCTATATTAGATGATAGAAATCATTATTAGATTTACTATTAGTTAATTTTGTAAAACAATTTATTAGGTTGACGGTTTGGAGCATGCGAAGCACACCGTCGAGAGTGCACCCACCATGGATGAGCGGAAGACATCTTTTTTGCGCAGGCTTTTCAACAACTTGCTCTGTTGTACCAGAGAGCAAAGGAGGGATGTCATATTATACCCTCCAGTGCCTGCTCCGGCCCGACCTTCATTCCGTGCTGATGAGAGGATTGTGCCCCCAGAAGAGCCCCCACGGAGGAGCAGAAGAAGGGTGAGAGAACACATTGATGAGCTTCGTCCGTCTCAGCAAACTCAACTTCCTCAACCATGGCCACATTGTGAGTGGGCTACTAGTACTGAGGGAACCGGAGGGTCGTCAAGCTATGCCCCGACGATGGAGCATGACATGTTCGTCATATACCTGAATCACTGGCATGCAGAAGGGAAACCCGTCAATGCATGGCTTGAATGTCCAGAACAGACGATGAAACATCAACTCGTTCTGTACTCGAACTTGATCTTCAGTTTCTACGTTGTTGTACCAAGGCACGGAAACCGTCCCAGGGTTGGACTCCTCCATTGCGGACATTAGTCTGGGGAGTAAAGCATACGAGTCATCCCAATCACCGTAGACATCAGCCATGGCCTTCTGCTTCCCATGCCACGCCTTCTTATACCTTATGGTGTAGGAGTGTCGATCCTTCACCTCCGCCATGATAGCTTTTATCTTGATATCTGGTTGTGCCTCGATAAGGTGCTTAATGGTTCTTGCCACTTTTTTTGCTTTCAGTTGCCGGTGATCCTGTGAAAGTATGGTTGAGGAGCAACTGTGGTTGTTCTCTGCTGTCCGCATGACCCAGACCCCCTTTCTCTTCATATATGCAGCACGAAGTTGCCACATACAACCCTCTCCAGCATTCTTACAAATGACATGCAGTTGTCCCTTGTCAGAATATTTTACCTTCCATTCGAAATTACGCCGCATGGCTTCTTCGCTAAAAGCGTCTTGCACATCGGCTTTTGAAGTGAACGCCATACCCACTTCCAAATTAGCAGTCGGATTATACACAGGCATGGGCCGATAGTCAGGGGCATCGTTCTGACCATATAAAAATTGATCAGGAACCTCTGTGTAGTAAGGCGTTGGTGCCTGGCGGAACGCCACCTCACTGTCATCGATATCGTCGTTATCGTCCGCATCTTCCTCCTCACTGACTGATCTCAAATCTTCCTCACTTTCATCGTCACTGGAGGCGAATGGATAGCTCGGCGAAGGAGGGTCATCTTTAGCAGCATAACCAGCATCGCCTTCTTGGTCATGCGAAGTACGCCCAGTTCGAAGGGTGTTTTCAATGTCACCCCACTCTGGACCCCAAGCAGGCCATTGATCACCGTCGGGCTGAACGATATCGACGGCAGTCTCACCACCATGTGGCAGGTATTCTTCCCACCCAACAGCTCCTTCAGAACTACCTCCTCCGTAGTTGCTTGAAGTACCTCCCCAACCATACCCTCCGGCAGAAGAACCTGCTCCGTAGTTACTTGAACTACCACCCCAGCCATACCCTCCTGCAAAACCATCATCATAAGAATACTGGTGAGAATGAGTTTCACTGACCGGCTCGGTCTCGACATACACCTCTGCAAGCCGCACCCCGTTCTCAGATATGAACTGTGTCATCATGTTCGCGTCGTCATCGTCATTTATGTCAACTCTTTCGTACATGACTCCGTCAGCACTCATGTTGGGATACCGGTAAGTAATTTGACGAACTCTCATTTGCCCGCCCGTACAAGTCCTTTCTGCACACCTGTCATGGAGTTCTTGCCACGAGAATCTCGACTCAATTGTAAGCGAACTGGATTCGCCATCTTCATAGTCGATCCCAATGTTCGAGTTTGTCACCCGACCATTCCAATAAATAATAAGCCGAAACTTCTTAAATTTACCCATGTCTGCAATTTATAATAATTAAGTATAGTATATAATTAGTACATTATGGATACAAAAACAATATCATCCAAAGCGATAATAAAATGCAACTAATTTATCTATTATGAGAAAACTAAACAAATTCATCTAAATTCATAACTAGCTAACTAACATCTATCATATCATAATTAAACTAAATAATATCATAACATATTTTCCAATAACCGCAATTCACTAAATACAAACAGTATAATTACTAACACATCAACATGTAAAAAATACATACTTATAACATACTCAATCCCGATCTATCATGATAACTAAACAAATTAATCTAAATTCAGTACTAACTAACTAACATATATCATTAATCTAAATATATAATTCTAACATACCTAATTCTAGCACATAATCAAAATGTAAACAATACATAATTCTAACATACCGAATCCCGACGAGTTTCTTGAGCAGTAAACTACGGAGGAACCAGCTGCGAAAACGATAATTTTGGTACTAATTTTCTGTTTGGCAGCAGGAGTGTTTGGCAGCAGGAGGGAAGAGGGGGCGTGGCTTTTTATAGGAAAAATTGGAGGCAATCACCGCTTTGGACAAAGGCGGTGAACCATCATCGCCTTAGTCAACAGCGGTGATGGCTAGGTAGCTGTTACCTACCTGTCCACCTACCAGGGCTGTGTAAAACGTGGGGGCAATCACTGCTGTGGACAACAGCGGTGATGGCTTCACTGTTGATGTCCAAAGCGGGGAACGTATCACCGCTTTTGACCACAGCGATGATGCATTCCCCGCTTTTGTCCAAGGCGGTGATGCGTACCCCGCTGCTTCACTGCTTTGGACAAAAGCGGTGATCAACATCACTGTCTTAGACAAAGACAGTGATGTTGAAACTGCTGTATTTTGGGAATTAGTTTTATAAGTACTGTATTTAGGGAATTTTTTTTAATAACTAGCGTATTCTGGGATTTTTTCCTCCTTCCTCTCTCTCATCTTCTATTCTCAGTTTCTCACCCCAAAACTCCCCCAATTGGACTCTTCAGAGTTCCCACTGCCTTCCCTTTCTCTCTCTTTCTCCTTCCCCACCAAAAAGCTTCTAGGGTTTCATTGACGCACCTAGCCATTCACTCTCCTTCCAGGACTCTCGCTTCTCAATGCCTGCTAATTGCTCCGGCTGGTCGCGATTTGGAAAACCTAGACAGTGCCGGCTTGGTCCATTCGGCGGCCGATTCTGTCTAGTCTTTGGATTAACCACTTCGCTCAAGCTCCATACTCCTTAACTCCCCAAAATTTGATTGGCGCACCCCGGTTCGGATTCAGGAATATGGCACCGAGTCGGAAAAGAGGAGTCAGCAGAGCTACAGCTGCCGCCCGTCGCCAGTGGAAAGTCGGCGATCTTGTCCTTGCTAAACTGAAAGGTTTCCCTGCCTGGCCTGCCACGGTATGTAAATTACCTGTTCATTCGTATACATTACTGTTCTTGTTTGCGGGGGCAGTGTGTTTGGTTTGTTATAAAGTGGAAGTCTTGCGATTTCCTCTTGGTTGAGGCTGCACGTTGAGTTACCATGTTGCTGTTCTTGAGCTTGGTCTCGCAGTTTGATTGGCCCTGGGAATTTCTTGGGTGAACATTCTGTGGACACAACTGTTGTAGATGACTTGCCTACTATAACTCAAATGGTAGTTCTTATTTGTGTACTTGGGTAGTGTATGTTGCCCATTGAACGCCATTTTGGGGGTTTGCTTTTTTTCTTATTGTAATTTACTAGTTTAGTTGTGTAGGTTGCATTGCCAAGTTGTCCTGGTTTAGCATTGATGCACCTGCTTCCTCTTATTGTGTATTTTGTGGATATGCTAGGCTTGCTTAACTAGCGCATTTCTGATTCTTGCTACTTTATGTATAAGCTTTCATTTGGTTGCTGAGTTGCTGTCTGTGTGTTGCCAGATCAGTGAGCCAGAGAAATGGGATCTCAAGTCAGATTGGAAGAAAGTCCTTGTCTACTTTTTCGGAACTCAGCAAATGTGAGTATGAATCTGTTTCTTCTTCTGTCTCGAAGTTTGTGTAGTCTCTCCCCTATAACTACAGTTGCTACCTTAGTGAAATCATGCCATTGCTTGTTTCGTTGTACCTATTTTGGTAAAAAAAAAAAAAATCCTCCTTATACTCCCTTGAAAGCTCTATCTGCCTGTTGCTTCATCTAATTCATATCTGAATATACAGTGGATAATGAATTGAGTTTTCAACACTCAAGACTTTCCTATCTAATTCATATCTGCCATTGGTTAGCTTGAATCAAGCATACAAAGTGTTTAGGTAAATGGATGGAATATAGCGTGTGAGACTTGTACATACTTGTTATGTCGTCATTAGAGTTGCAACATGAATCCTTTGCCTTGATTTAAATAAGATGTATAGATCCAGCATTGGTCAGCTTGAAAACAGTATCACAATGCATATTGGCCACAAATCACGTGGTTAGGTGACAGGACCTGATCTATATTCTAGTTTCCAGGTAGCAGTGTAGTATGTCTCGTGTATTGTTTGCACCTTTTAGATTTAGAATTTCCTGTCCATAATTTATTTGTTTTGGTGTTTTTTACTGGCCATTTTGTGTGTCTTAGGGGGGGGGGGGGGGGGATACTGTTTTTAGCTGCTATCGTCTCTTTGGATATCATAGCTGTAGACCTGGCATGATGTTTGTGGCTAGCTCTTGTTCTGCTGTAGACCATTTGCACAGCCATGAGGCTATTAATGCTCTTTGCTTTTGGTGGAAGGTTTTAATTATTTTCTGTGAATTCTTGGGTGTAGAGCTTTTGTTTGGTTGTTTAATGCAAATTGTGAACCATTCTTTCATGTGGCTTCTAGCTGAGTGATTTGTATTTTCTAGTATTCTTCCTCTCATTTCTTGCTTTCTTTTGGTGCATCTTGTGGTTTCTGTGGTTATGTAGAGTAGTAGAAAATGGCTGTGTTCAGGTCCCCTATGAGGAACCTGGGTTGGAGGCTTGGGTGGATATGTTCTTTGACATTCCTTTTGTCTGACTGGTACTTGTCAATGTTTTTTGATCTGTTTTTTAAATTGTCCATGTATTTGTTTTCCTCACAACTTCTGGTTTTCATGAACGTAGAGCTTTCTGCAATCCTGGTGATATTGAACCATTTACGGAAGAGAAAAAACAATCACTTTTGACGAAACGGCATGGGAAGAGTGCTGACTTTATTCGTGCTTTGGAGGAGATAATTGATAGTTTTGATAAGGCAAAGAAACAAGACCATGTTAATGATCTCAGCTCTAGTGAAGCATTTGCAAATGGTGGGAATTCTTTGGAATCATCCCAGAAAGATATCAAAAGTCGGACCGCAGCTTCAGAGACAACTGTTACTTGGAGGGATAATCCTGCTCTTCCAGATGATGATGCTGCAGATGTGCCACCGTCGGGTTCCTTTGATGATAAAGAAGGGTTGCTTAAGCAATCTGTCAGTAATGTGGAAAAGCCTATTATAGCGACTTATACTTCAAGAAAAAGATCTGGAGGTTCTCGATCTAGGAAATGCGTTAGTCAAAAGAAAGTAGTATCGCCAGAAATGCCAAAAAGCTTGCCTCAGCTGGTTTCTGGAAGACTCCAAAATTCTGCACCATTGTCGCAGAGTTCCAGAGTAAGCGTAGGGGATTTACCAAGTGTTTCAGTTAGAGAAGGGTCAGTTCGAAGAACCAAGCACATCAGGAAATCACCAGAGGCAGTGGAAGATGAAAATATGGAATTCCCTGCTCTTGTCTCAAATGGTAGTGTCGAGGATGATCTGTCGGAAATTGTTTGTGCTGATTCTGGTTCCGTCAGCTTACATGATGTAAGCACTGTTGATAGTTGTTGTGAAGTAGAACAATTTGAAGCTGCTGTTGAGCGTTTAGGGGAAGAAGCTCAGTTGGCTAAATGTCTTGATTTTCAGATAAAGGCTGTTGTAATTAGGAAGAAGAGGAAACTAAATAGAAAGAGGGCAACAAATGAGGCAGCTGAACCAATTGCTCGGCCAGATACTGGGGCGAATTTTGAGGTTGGTGCAAATAATACTGGCCCAAATTTGCAACTTATGTTTGGAAATCAGAAAGAAACTACTGGTAAAGAAGTTGGAGATGAGCATCTGCCACTAGTTAAAAGAGCCAGAGTTAGGATGGGTGAAGTACCATCTTCCAGTGAGGAACATGGTTCCTATCAGTCTGAAGGGAAGACGTTGAGTGATGGTCTTTTCATCAGTCAGGAGACACAGAATAGTGTGTCACAGGCTGAAGAAAGAACCTCTGGAGAAATTGCACTTAATATGGGGAACCAGGTTTCCTCATCTCTGAATTCTGATGTTGAATTCCACATCACTAAAGCAGTAAATGAAACCATGAATCATTTGTCACCATCCGAGAATAGTCAAATCCTTGAAGGTAATGTTCTTCTTTCAAGGGTGAAGGATAGCCAACCCTTTGGTCATCTGGCTGAAGGTGAATCTGCCTTGCCTCCAAGCAAACGTCTTCATCGGGCCCTTGAAGCCATGTCTGCAAATGCCGCTGAAGAGACATCAACACCCAAAACTTGTTTCACTTACAGTGCACCAAAGGGTCTTGAAAATATGGAGACAGAAGAACACAGCGAAGATTCTCTTGGCACTAGAGTTCATGGGTTATGTTTGAGCTCTAACGAGGCTTTGGAGGAAGGTACTAGATCTTCAATAAAGGCAGATAGTTCTGATGAAAAAATTGAGGTTCCGTGCAGTAGTGAACCTTCCATGAATGAGGTGGCTGAGAACATTAACCATGGCAATGAAAAAGATCTTGATAGACTGGGTCTTCAACCAAATTCCAATTATTCTGCTGTTCAAGTGCAAACTCCAGTAAATTTAATGCTTGATGCTGATAACCAACTTGCTGTTGTCGACTCGAATCACACACCACTGGACCAACAATTGCTTCTGGAAGATGGGGAACCTGAAAGCCGTGAATCAAATGATATGAAAGTGGAAACTCCTGAGAATAATTCAGAGAGTAGTATTCTCCATGCTGTTGAAGGTTCTGTAGGAAACGACCCAAAAGTGTTTCAGGTTACTGTTGATGCAAGTATATGTGATGATGTTGAGTCACACAATTCTAAAACTGATGAGCATCAACAACCTTTTGGATGGTAATCATTAAATTTCTTGTTAATTTTACCATGTATTTCATGTTTTTCTTTTTGACAAATACCATATATTTCATTTTATGGTTATCTGATAATTCTCCCTGATCAAACTACTCTGTTTTAGTTCACATTGAAGTGTCATTTTATCATAGTTTAGTTTGACTTTTCTGTCTTTGATTAACTTTATTCTGTTTAATTAGCCACAAACTTGGTAAAGATGATCAAATGCTGATGGAAGCTAGTGGCATAACTTTCTCTTATGACCACTGCTCTGACAAGGATGCCATGGGTTCTCAGCCAGCTACATTGCCAGCTGATGAAGAATCTCCTGCAGGGATGTCCCCAACAACTGCCTCTATGTGCCATGCGTCTACTTCGGAGAGTGCTAATTTCAATCAGAATAGTGGTGGTTCTAGTCCTAATACCAATTCAAATCAGAGGCAAGACTCTGGAACTACACTTACAGATGAGGAGAAGATTGATTCCGGAGCACTTCAAAGACCAACATCTGTTGGAAGATGTAGCAACTATGCAGAATTACAAGCTGCATTGTCATCCTTCAAGGGAATGCTTGGATTGTTAACAAGGACGAAGGAGAGCATTGGTCGAGCAACTCACATTGCAATGGACTGCGCTAAGTTTGGTGCCTCGGAGAAGGTAGGTTCTGGTCACTGCAGGTTACTGCTAATCTTAACTGGTTTAATTGACGACCAAAATGAAATTTGAGCAAGTTATCTTTTTACTTATTTTACTTCTGTGAGTAGCACTTGCATGAGAAGTTATCTTACTTCTTAGAAAGAGAATTTCTTCAGACAACATGCATAGGGAAGTTGGACATAGTAAAAATTATCACCTGAGATAGGTTGGTAGTATACAGGATCAGAAAGTTTTTAAAAAGTAAAGCAGGAATGAAAAAGAAAGACTAAAGTACGACCTGAAATTGGTGAGCAGCTCGCGGAGCAAATGGACTCACTAACTTTGATTGTTGTGGGAATGCCGATCCTGTCTGTGCAGTTCACTGTTCATGTGATCTGGTTTTGTTGACAACCAATGTATTAACTAATACAACACTTATTATACATGAGGATTGAAAGGATCTTCATTTTTCAGTTTGAAGTTTTGTAATGATTTTAATGTTTGGCCACCCTTATCTAAAAAAAAAAAAATGTTTTAATGTTTGGTTTGGTAAATGATTTTGAGAAATAAATTTATCTTTTGGAGTTCGGTTGATGATATGAAATGTTCATGCCTCGTAGAAAGAATTAATGAAAGGCTCATAAATGTGCTTTGGTGCTCAGACTTCAACGTTCCAAGTACCTTATTTGTACAACCCTATTTTAGCCCTTAATGTTGAAGTGAACTGGAAACCTCGTTTCATAGTGAATAATCATAGTTACTCTGTTCAGAGTTGTAACCTTGGTGGGCTAACTCCATGCTATTTCATATGTTCGTTTTTGAAACTAGGTGATGGAAATTCTGGCTCATACGCTGGAATGTGAATCAAGTCTACACAAAAGGGTGGACCTGTTTTTCCTTGTTGATTCTGTTGCTCAATGTTCTCGAGGCTTGAAAGGTGAAGGTCTCTTGCCTTTCTATTGGATAATAATAATGAATGCAGAGTCTGTATAGTATGCTGATGCTTTACACTACAGGCGATGTTAGTGGTGCATACACTTCTGCTATTAAAGCAATGTTGCCTCGGCTGCTATCTTTTGCTGCTCCTCCCGGAAATTTGGCTCAAGAAAATAGGAGACAGTGTTTGAAGGCAAGCCAGGAAATCCTAAATGTTTTGTACATACAGCCTAACGAAAATCCCTTTTATTGTATTCATCTTTGTTCCCTTTCTTTAATAAAGGTTCTGCGGCTTTGGTTGCAAAGAAGAATTCTTCCTGAATCCTTTATCCGGCATCACATTTGGGAGCTAGATTCACGTGGTGCATCAACATCTACTGCTGCATACTCTCGCCGGTCGGCAAGAACAGAAAGGGCTCTGGATGATCCTATTAGAGACATGGAGGGTATGCTTGTGGATGAATATGGAAGGTTTGACCAAAAGTTAATTTTTCTAAATGCTTTTGTGGTCGTGGCACCGAGTTTTTATTGTTGAGAACTTCACTAATATTATTCTTTCTATCCTCAGCAATTCAAGTTTTCAGCTTCCTGGATTTTGTATGCCTCGCATGCTGAAGGAGGAAGATGAAGGAAGTGATTCCGATGGAGGTAGTTTTGAGGCAGTCACTCCCGAACATAATCATGAAGTCACCCTTGAAGAACGAGAGTTCTCTGGGCCTACAGCTCCTGAAAAGCATACTCATATACTGGAGGATGTGGATGGAGAACTTGAAATGGAGGATGTGGCAGTGGAAATGAGTTCTTCAACCATAGATGCTCCACACGGCCAGTTTGAACACCATTTCCCTTCTCAATATGCTGCTCCACCATTGCCGCAGGAGATGCCGCCATCATGCCCCCCATTACCATCATCACCGCCACCGCCACCTCCCCTGCCGCCGGCTATTGGCCATCAATCCTGTGGAACACGTGATTCCCATGTCAGTAATTGTCTTGATGCAAGGCATTACAGGAATGCACAATGCCATCCATCTGAATGTGGTAGAGATCAGGCAGACATGCAGTTTGATGACAATTGCAATACTCCTGGGCGTGGGATGAACAATGGACACCATGTAGATGGACCTAGCTATCGCCACAAGTCCCATCTTCCAAGGCCGCCACCTTATCTACCGCCGAACCATTACTCTTACGTGCATGGAGGTGGCCAACATATCAAATCCAGGAGGGACTCGCCCCCACCACCCCCACACCCATCGTACTCCTCACATAGACACCACTCGTCACATGCTAGTGAAAATGGCAACTTTTATAATAATAATGACAGAATGAGACCTGGCCCGTATGAGTTTGATGAGAACTGGAGATATGGTGCACCCCCTTACCCTGGTAGGCTACTGCTGCCTTTCTCTTTTGTTTCATTTCTTCATTTACTTGCCCCCTTCTCTAGATGAGTTAGTTTTGACTCTGTTAATTTTGTTACTCTAGGTCATCGATATCCTGAAAAATCCAGATCATCGTATGAGCCTGCTCCTTATGCAAGGCCCTCTCGCGAACCCAGGTTAGCTCATCATCAAGGATGGCAATATCCTCCTAGGGGCGTGCATCATAGGGAATTCATGCATTCTGATGGTCCAGTTTCAGCGGCAAGCAGAGGTATGTTTCTTCATGACTCAGACAGTAAACCAAACCGTTTTCGGTGCATTTGTTGAACTCGAAATAAACCCTTTTTGACCAATAGCAAAGTTACTAATGTCAAGGCCTCACATTCAATTTCAGGTACAAACATGTGGCGGCACAGATAAGCAACATATTGGCACGGCTTGTGTTGCTATACAATCATGGTTGTGCACTTTTGTCTGAGTGGTAATAATGCTGGCCCACATTTGGTTTCGGTGGTGTAGTCTGATCTTGGCACTTCACTGCAAAGTAGGGATGCTGGTGACTTGTGTTGTATATAGCATATCTGAGACTGAGACACAATGATATTAGGGTGTGACACTTCAAGGCGGCTGGTTGATAATGGTCAACTGTGGATTCCTTCTGTATATATGTAACCTTTAGCAATGCTTCTGCAAAATGCCAGAAATGTGGCCCAAGCCAAGCCATAGGCTCTGGCGAGAGCTCTGGCTTCAAGAGTAAGAGGTGTAATCTTTGTCTCTGTGTATCATTTTAGATTTTACTAAATTTTCTCCGTGTAATTGTTTTCTTCCCTCGGGAGGCAACCTGGGAATTTTTGGTTTCGTCCATTGAGAGTCAGTGTATTAAATAAGCATTGAAAACAATCGGGAGGGTACTTCTATTAGTTAGCTACCGCCTACCGATGGTGGCTTTGGTCCTAGAAATTCGTTTTAATTACGTAGAACAAGGCAAGATGGTGTTTTGCACTAAGACGAGAAGAAACAAACTAAGAGCGTTTTCAATAATCTTCTTGTTTTCGCATGAATATAGAGAAATGGGAGGAGCTTCATGGAGGCGACTAGAGGTGGCAAATGGATTGGATTGGTGGATTGGATTGGTGGATCCATGGATTAAATGGATTGGATCTAATGGATTGGTGGATTCATGGATTGGATCAAGTGGATTGGTGGATTATCCATGAATCCAAATGACATCCTCAACCAAGGACCAATATGTAAAATGTAAAAAGTTTAGGTACTAAAATGTCATAATGAAAAATTTTAGGTACCAAAACGTAATTTTCCAATGATATTTTTCGTATAAAAAATAAATTTTAGGTACCAAAATGTAAAAAATAAAAATTATAGGTACTAAACCGTAATTTGCCAATGATCCATGGATCCAATCCATGAATCCACCAATCCAATTGGATTTGGATTAAATGGATTGGATTTAAATGGATTGGATTAGGTGGATATTTTTAATGGATTGATGGATTGGATTGGTGGATTGGATTGAAATTGCCACCTCTAGAGGCGACTGTCCGTTAGTCCTTTGTGTACAATTACGAGGGAGTGTTGTAAACATAAAAGAGAACGACCTAGTCTACGATTCAGCCAGATCATCAATCGGAGCTAAGCCACAAAACATCATTGGAATTGGACCAGCGCTATGCTGTGTGCAAGAGTCAAAGGTGGTGTGTAGAAAAGCAGGAATGGATGAGAAACAAGGAAGCTACACGTGGTGCTAACTATTTGTTTCAAAATGAGAATGCAATGACTTCTCAAGAAGAGTTAAGAACCGAAACCTTCCTCATTAGTCATAGATGAATGACATATTAGAATCTATTCCATAGAATAATGTGTGGAATTGAGAAACCTTGTGGATGTGAATAAATTGAACCAGTAGACTAGTGCATGAGAAATGAGAATAACATTGACATCTAGTAAGATGGAGAGTAGTTTTATAAGATCACATAAGTGCATTTTTTATTATGTAAATATGATAGTGGAATGGGTAACATGCCCATAGTAATAAGTTTGAAGGAAGTGTTGGTTGTCAGTACTAAGTGAATCACTTTTGTTGTCTATCTTCTAAGTGTAATTCTCTATTTCTCAGCTATAACTGTGAGAAACCAGGTCATATGACACGAAAGTGTAGGAACAAGTTTAACCCTGATCTTAATCTTAACTTGACTAAAGAGGAAGATTTGGTGGCAATGATCATAAATATGTAGCAGAGGTTAACTTTATTGTTAACCCTAAAGGATGATGGTTGGATACTGGCGCCTCAAAGCATGTGTGCGATAACCATACTATGTTGAAGACATAGCTTGTTGAGTAGAAAGTGTTGTTTGGCACTACCCTCACCACTATTGTTGGTTCTGAAAAAGTGGAAGTGAACCTTACCTCTGACAAGATGTTGACAATACTAGACATTTTGCGCACTCCAGAGATAAGAAAGAATCTTGGTTGAGGCTAGCTTCTTAACAAGGCATGGTTTCATCATCTATGTGATGCGAAGATTCAAGGGTATGCCTATGATGGGATGTTCAACCTTAAAGTTAGTAAGATGAATTCTTTTTTGTGTGCTATGCATGTCTTTGTTGTATATTATGTAGAACTTGAATAACTAAGGTCATATTGCCATAATATCAATAACTAAGGTATATTCCCATAATATCGTTAGAGGTGTGTTCTAAATGTGATTTATGTAGCCAAGATAAATGACCCATATACGTGATTAGAGTATAAAAACCTTTAGATCTGGTTCATTTCATATGGGTAAGCGTGATGAGATGTTAGCTTGGAGTGGCAAGAAATGCGTTATCACTTTATTGATTTCATTCGTCTGGTTATTTGTTGTGATGCTCTTGAGATGCTTGCAGTAGATTTTGAGAACAATGCAATATGATTACTAGTAGAGCATATGAGTATTTATTGGCTCTGCTGTAATAGTAAAACACATTGGTTCTATGGCCTGAATGCTCATACAATTGTGGAATCCAATGATGCCAATCGATTTTCATTTAAATCAAGAAATATTGTGATAATATCCTGATCGTTGTTAGAAATAATGGAACTAGTAGGGGGTGTTGAGTATGAGTTTAAACTCAAAAGAATCTTAACAATCTTGTCATGCAGTGCATAAAATGTATGTTAAAGATACCCTCTTTAATGTTGGTTTATTAGAGATGAGGTAAGTTGGTTTTGTCTGTGGATACTCACTAGTTTAGTTCAAGGAAAGAGTAAAGTTTTAAACTTTTGGATGGGGTCCTTTCGTTTCTTTTTTTTCTTGGGGATTAGTATATGCAAGCTGCAGCGAACAAAAGCAAACGTGATTCAGTAGATGGGGTCCCATAGTCAATGCTGATGTGGTGAAAGATTATTTTTTTAATAGCACCGTTAGTTAATGGGACGAAAAAATGGACGGATGTCTAATTTAAATATATTAGTGGTACCCGACACTCTATTCAAACTTCAGTGGTAACTGGTATGTTTATCCTAATTCGCAAACTTAAGTGGTACTCAAGATATTTTACCCCAATTATACATGATGGCAACCTGACTCACAAATGAGATACCCCAAGAAATAGGTTCAATGGGTAAATATAAAATGTAATCACTTCGCTAAGGTTCAAATCGAAAGATACCTTAGTTTATACTTGATTTTGTACGGTTCCGTTGATGCTCAATAAAAGTTTTTAAAAATATTCAGGTGGGGGATTGATGGCAATGTGAATAGTTTGTAAGAAAAAAAATAAAGAAGGAAAGCCCGTAAAATGGTAAGCGAAGTTGATTCGAATTCATTATCCGCACTAAAAAAAGTTTTTTCAATCGGATTGATTCTCTGTATTGAATGAATATTATATCAATAAGATTAATTGCTTGCATTAAAGAAAATTTTCGCTCAATCAGATTGGTTTTCTGTATTGAATGAAACTTTTATCAATCGTGTTAATTGTATGTATTCATGGAAGGTTTTAATCGGGTTTACTACCTTTAAGTTTAACTTCCTTTTAAAACGTCGAATACCAATCCTTCATTGAGAATGTAAATTAGAAGGCCTCATCGTATATAAATACGGAAAAGGAAGTTAAACTTAAAGGTAATAAACCCGATTGGTATTCGACGTTCATAACCCTAAAAGACATGAGTTGCATAACCCTAAAAGACACACAGAGTGAGGAGAAATACATTGAGACTCTGAGAGTGTTTTCATTGATCTTCTTGTTTTCATTTGAACAAGAAAAATTAGGAGTGCATGTTCACTCTGGAGGTATCCGACCATTAGTCTGCTATCCGCAACTATGAGGGAATGTCATGAACATTTTTAAGAGAGCTAACTAGTTCGCGACTCAGGCAGATCGTAACCTCTAATTTTTTGTTTGATTTTCAAAAAACTATTACTCTAAAACATTCAGAAAAGTATATCAAGATAGAAGGACGTTGAAATTTCCAAACCATGCCGGGGGGGGGGGGGGGGGGGGAGCCAAGAGCGGGGAGTGGCTACATGGACTGGGGATGGCGACGGGAAGCGCCGCGATGGGAAGTGACGACGGAGCGGAGGAGTTGCTAAGGGAAGAGGGGACTGGGACTGGCAATGGCGAGCTGGGAGCTGCTACGCTGATTGGGGATGATAAGGATGCCGACGGGAAGCCAGGATGGGAAGAGTTGACGGCGGCAGGGTCTGGCGCCGCTCTTCTCCCTCCGTTGACAAAGAGTCGAAGACAAAAACTGAATTTGTTGATGCCAAGCTCCGAGGAGCCTGCTTCAATGTGCTTGAGGTCCGGTGAGCTCTGACATCTTGGCCAACTTCTACCACCACCAGCCTCCGAGATGGACACCTGCAAAAGAGGAATCCGCCGGCGGTGGTCGGTGGGGACCTTCTCCGAAGCTCAAGTTAGTATTTGAGAGGAGAGTCACCGGGAGCGGCGTATTGAGCCGGCTCTAGAGAGAGTTTTTGAAGGTTCAAATCGAGAATGAGCTATTGATAAAATATAAATGAGTGTCCTATTTATAGGTATATCCTGCTTCTGGTGGGTGGCGTATGAAGAATAGAATAATATTAACAAAGCACCCAACCAACTCGATTAGATGCAGTGGGTGGTCTGATCAGTAAAATATAACAAGAAAACACATATCACCAAACATGAAAGACAAGAAAGCCACTTACCTCCTCTCTTTCTAGTAAGCCACTTATATAGTAGTGGGAGGTGGAAAATATATTCACCCATCCTGTAAACAAAAGGTGAGGTGGGTTGTTTTGGGTGTGTTGCACATTTACCCTAAATCCATGTCATGCTTAACATGGCATTAGGGGAGAATGGGAGAGAACCATGGTTGTCATGTCGGCCGGCGTGCCACCGGTTGTATCTGGTTCAACCGATACCAGTCATAAAACT